CTTCCTTCCTTCCCTCCTTCCCTCCTTCCTTCCCTCCCTCCCTCCCTGTCCCTCCTGAAGAGTCTACAGTTATCCATTGCAGCACTCCAGTCATGATAGTGGTCCCACCACATTTCAGTGATGGCAACTATGTCATAGTATTCCTGACGTGACGTGACCTCTAGGCCTTCCTGTTTATTGCCCATGCTGTGTGCACTGGTGTACATGAACTTGAGATATGGATACTTAGCTCTTCCCCATTTGGGATTAGGGGACACAAGTGACCTCACAATTGCAAAAGTACTTATGAGATTACTTGTGTCTGATACCCTGATAGGCCAGTGCCAAGGAGGAGACTCCCCTTAGGAAGTGCCTGGTCATTTGTGCCTGAGGCCCTGACAGAAAAAGGCTATGCTCAAGGCTGCTTTTGGTAGTTGTGCCATTGCTTGTACCTCACTGCCTGATAGGCCAGTGCTAGATAGGTGTTTGGTGTCAGTGATTTTGGCCTTATAGACCACTGCTAAGGTCATGGATGCTCTTTCTGCTTGTGACATTGCTTGTGTCTCAGTGCCTGATCGGCCTCAACTGGCTATGCCATTGCTGTTATTCCCTGCGAGGTCATTTGTCCCTGAGTCATTGATAGGCCAGTCCAAGGCTCATGGCTGCCCTTGGTAGTTCTGACATCCGTGGTGCCTTAGTGCCTTTGTTGGACATGCAGTTGGTGCATGGGACTGGGGGGTCACTTGTGCCTAAGGCCCTCATAGGCCTCTAAAAGCTTCATAGATGTTCTTGGGGGTTGTGACATGACTTGTTCCTCAACGTCTGATAGGTCAGTGACATAACCTATGAGTTTCGTGTCACAAAACATGAGTTTTGTGTCTGTGATCACTTGTGTCTGATATCCTGCTAGGCCTGTGCCGAGCAAGAGAATCCTCTTAGTGGATGTGTGGTCACATGTATCTGAGGCCCTGATGGTTCAGTTCTAGGGGCATTGCTGCTTGTGGTGGAGATGAAACCCATTGTGCCTCGGTGCCTGTTAGGGCAGTGCCAGGCTCACGATTGTTCTTGGTGGATATTCTTCCATCTGAAGTACCGAGAACTATTAATGTGGCAGAGTTCTCATTTTTAGGCTGGAGCTTTAGTCCAAACCATGTCTTAAACCACCGTTTTAGAGTGTAAACAAAAAACATTGACCTCACTGGTGTCTTCCCCATGCTTACATGAGTGTCCTCTTGAATGCTGCTCCAAGGCGGGAAGCATTGAGGGAAGCCACCAACACAGGTGGCTCTGGGTGACATGTAGGAGTTGCAGCCCTTCAGAACCTCGTTGGTGTGAGTAGTGTTCCCCAGACTAGGGGATAAATAACCAGCATGTTTGGAGATGGGGAAATAGAAGTAGACCAGGGCATATTAACTGCAGTTGTTCCTGCTTCCTGCCCATTATGTCAACCCTGGGATATAGATGCTAAAATATGTGCATTATTATTATCAGCCAACTAATGATTCTATTGAAATTACCAAATTGATAAAGCTGCTCAGAAGCTTACTTACTACTGGGATGACCCGTTCCAAATTATCCATAGCAAGGCCTGAGATTATGCTAAAATTAAAACTAAAATCCCCTCAAGCCCCAAAGGAGGTAGCTCAAACTCTAATCTACCAAGTAACATACGTACCAGATCATACTCTCAGATAAGGTCCACTAGGAACCAAACGCTAGAAACCTGCCCAAGGCCTTTGGAATAACACGAATAGTGCACTAGATCAAGAACGGCCGGGCCTTTCCCCTCCAAAGGCATTCCTTCACCAGGTTTCTGAGGTCGTGTGAGCGTGCAAAGGGAAACGGAAGGTTTCTTGGGCTGCATCCTGCCTTGGCCTTCCTCTTGGATCCTACAAGGAACTTTATCCCTTTTTTTTTTTGGCTTAAATTTGTAAGCAAAATGTGCTTTGTGCATTGCACTGTGGGAAAATTGCTTGAGAAGGGGAAAATTAGAAAAAGTAGGACCTAACAGAAGTCAGGACATTACAGGGGCTTACTTCCTCTAGGCAACACAATCTGGCCTCCTAGCACATGCTAGTAAGAGTAATCAAAGAGTGGAGCAGAGTGGAGACACCGCAGCCCAACATATAGTAGAGCAGAGTGGAGACACCACACCAAACTCTGCTGCATTCCCTACAGAGGTGGCAACCTGATGGTGTCATGCAGTTGATGCACTTAGTACAATAAGAAGTCCAGTGCTGGGCAACAATGGTGGCAGATCAATCCCTTCAGATGGACTTGCTTGAATTTTTACTCATTATAACCTCATTTTAATACCAATGCACACCTTCATCCCAGAAGTTACCCACCTCCAAGGTATGACCACTCCTCACTGATTTTTGATTGACTGTATCTTTAAATGAAAAGGAGAGACTTTTACACGAAGCAATAACAAAAGTAAGTAGGACTAGAGTCACTCAAGCTCCACCTAAATGTAAAAATAAATAAAAGATGTGGACTAAGGAGGGAAGAAATTCAGAGAAGACCCCATCAAAACTTTCGGGATCGGTCAATGGGCTGAACCTGTCTTTCTGTCCTCGGGTCAGGATGCTGCCTGAGGAGACTCCTCCAGGTTGAGAGCCCTCTCCCATCTTCTTCGGTGAGTGATTACTGAACATTACAGCTAGCCAAGAACCCCACACTGCAGTTGAGAGTTGTCTGTACTGACATCCGAAAGCTGTAAATGTTGCATTTAAATAAATCATACTATTCGGGAACTCAACTAATTGCTTTGAATGTGGTTTGACCCATACTCAACAGACTGTTCATGATGCTGGTGCTTCCAGAGTCAGGCCTGTAGCTGCCACAGTATTTGGTATCCCTATGAAGAGATGAGTCTAGCCACCCTCAGGTGCTCTAACCTCAGAGGATCGCCTGGAATGCAGGAGGATTCATCTCTTATCACATTTGCCCCCACTTTAAACTGCAACATGTACCCAGACACAACGGATCAAAACTGCTAAGGATTCTCACCAGTTTAGTCCGACTTATTATATATTCACTTCGGGAGAGACACTGGAAGGCGAGTGGAGCTGTTGCTGATGCGTTCATTTTCCAGAGCAAGCTCATCCTTTTTTCTTTTGCCTCCTGCTTTTGCACTGCCTTCCTCTCTTTTGAGCCGTTCTTCGTTGCAGGCAGCTGCAGGATTAGCTGACAACGCTTCACTGCAACAACAAGAATGGCTTTTAGGACAGAGTCCTCACTGCTCACAAGAAAGAGTCCACCTAAGAAGGCTTACAGCAAACCTCTCCACAGAATACTCTCAACAGCTCACCAGGCACTCCGTAATACCACTACACTGCACTATCACTACAAAGGCATGGTTGCTAAAAGATAGAAAATAAAAGGAATGTCAGCAAAGAACAACTCACTGTTTTCTTTTCCTCAGCAGGGAATGGACTTTATAAATCATTACTACCATAAACAAAATGGAGCCCAAGATTGGGACAATGAAGAGTAAACGGTGCCTTTGAAGGGCTTTTTGAGCTGTAGCCTCTGGATCTTTGTCACTACGAAGACCTGGAGGAAAGAAGAACAATGTTTCTAAAAGCTCAGTTTTGCAATGGTTGTGTCTTAATGCACAGTGAAATCTACCCACTAGCTGCTGTCTCCAGGTCCTTCAAGATCTTCTTTAGGACTTGCAAAGTCTCCTGAAAGGATTTTCCTTTGGGGGACTGAGGAGCTAAAGAGAAAGCGTTAAGTTAGATTTCCCATGAACAAGATAGGCACCAGTAAATGCTGCTGCTTTCAAGTCAACCAAAGCAGAAGGCCAGTAATCACGCCTCACCTCTGTGATTCCCTGGAGACTCTAATCCAGCCTCCATCTGAGAATCTGCATTATCATCATCTGTATCTGCATCTGCATCTGTAACCAAAGGGATGAGCAGAGTTGTCATCGCCTACGACCATACGCTTCTGCAGATTCCAGTGAGGAAGCATGGAGTGTCTCATCACACCAAAGCACTTGTCTCGCCCTTCTGCTCCTGCGTCTTCTGTGGACACCTGTGATGGTGCCACATGTACAAATGGCTACAAATGTAAGCATGCTGTGAAAGGAGGCCCTAGTGTTCACACCGTGTGGGTCGAAATTTCAGCAGACGTGGAGCTGCCAGCTGAAAGGACACCCCAGATTTCACACAAGCCTTAAACTCAATCACACCAAGACTGCTGACTTTACAGCACATTTTGGAAGCAGAAAAGAGTTTTCCATAGGAGAGGCTACAACTTCATCACAAAGCAGTTGTAGCGAATGGAAGGGGCGGGCATGATGACAAATATATGTAGGTCAAAGTTTGCAAAGCTGGGGAGGGGCAGGAAGGATATATATCTGCCACTTGGCAGGCAGCTCCCAAAATCAAGTTTGTAAAGTTGTTGCTTTGCAACTCACCCCTCAGGTCTCCCTGCGGCCCTAAAGAGGAAATATGAAGTACAATTTCATGTTAGGAAAAGAGTGCAAAGAAAGCTCTTACTCCTTCCGAAAAGCAAAAGTGGACGACATACCCTGAGGAAGATCTGGAGGCTCAGCTTCAGGATCCAGCTGAGCAGCTGGATGATCAACGAAAACAAAATCTGTAATAAAGCAAAGGTGGGGACAGGGTCTCCTGTTAGCGGCTCCCCGTCTGGCAAATGGCAAAAGCAGCACGAGCTAATCCTAACTCTAGGCTTTCCAGGGAAGGTCCCCAGACCGCTCACCCCCAAGCTCTGGGGGCAGCTCAGCGCTGGCATTCCGCCCCAAATCAGCATTGCCACCAGGCACCGCTGGAACCACGCACGGGGACAAGAGCTCCCAGCACAAGACGCCAGGCGCTGCTCCAGGCAAAGCTCTCGCCACCAGAACCAACCACCGACCCCATCCCACGCATCCCATCTCCTCTCCTTTCCTGTCTCCCAACGGCCCCACGAGGGGCCTGGTCCTGGCCGCAGCCCGGCAGGCACCTCCCGCCATGTGGACCCGCCCGCCCTACCTGGGTC